CCAATAGAAATACAGCCGTGCTGTTTGTGCCATTCGTCCAAACAGCATCAACGATCTCGCCGCGGGGTCAATGCTGATCATTCTTTAGTGTCACTTACTTTGACACACACACACACTTTTTAAAAAGTGGATTTGTTTTCTGTGACTCTGCCATTTGTCAACAGTCACTGAAAACAGATCGTATTTCTTTCAGTTTAGCTGTCACGCAAACACGGTGACGATGTGACATGACTGTACTGTTTAGAGAACGCCGTCAGGTCAACAGCATTGTTAACCTGAATAAGCTCTTTAATGTCCGTTTGTAGTGATGTGTTGTTTATTGTCTTATCTGTTGTACAGTTTATTTGTGTTTGAATGTTACCTCGGGTTTGTCTTTACGTCTTTCTGTTATAGATTGTGTTCTGCTTTCACTTTGTCAACTCTGCTTTTAAAAAGGTTTAATATAAAAAAGTTATTATTATTATTATAGTCAGCAAACTCAATAAAGATGCAATGCATCTGTGTCATAACACTGAACAGACTCATATTTAAACACTCTAAATAAGATATTTACAGTCCTGGTCCCAGGCTCGCCATCATGAAGTCACAATATCTTGAAGTGATACTGAACCAAACATACAAAAGACATAAAACATGTTAATAAAAATATAACAGGTTTTTTCTCACCATGCTATTTTGTTTGCACTGCTGTTCTCTAATAAGTAACTGATGTGTACACAGATAGAATCACGAGGCTTTGTTCTGTCGGCAGGATGCAGTGCAGATTCATGTAACTCATTTGCATATTGTGTATTTTTTTCTTAATCAAACTGCAGCTCCGCTCGAGTATTTTTCAGCACAAAGAACCGAGAGTTTGCCATCGCAGCCTCAATCTGTCTTTATGTTTCTCCCGCAAAGACGCCACAGTCACAACCCGACGGGAAAAGGAGTGTTTCCAGTTATTCATCAGTCTGCTCAGGAGCATGCAAATACCAATGTAAATAAGGGTATTCTGTTAAAACACAAATGTAGACACCTCGACTGTACTACGGTATATTTAGAATAGTTAAATAGTCTCTGAGTGTGGAAGGTTTCGCACCACTAAAGTGTAAAAGTCACGTATATTTCAAAACAACCCTAAAACTGGTGTTTTAATCAGAACAGACTCCACCAGAGAGAGTCGGGGTGTATTTTGATTATTTGGTCGTTCTTTTAAAGTACTTATAAGACCATCAATTTACAAAAGTGGATATATTTTCCCTCAAATCCGTAAACTTTGAGGAAATTCCATGGTTACAGTGAACCCTGTCATTTAAAGAAATTACACAAAACACTAATTAGACAGCGTTTTACCTCCCGACCTGAATGTGAACCACCCTCTCAGAAAAAGGAAAACGCACACACACTGCTCTGTATGGCGTCCCCACAGTGATGGAGGAAGGATGAAGACCATCAGTGACGAGGTACATGAGAGGAGGAGGAGGAGGAGGAGGAGGAGGGGAAGCTCAACACAAACACACTGGAACTAGTTTCTAAAGGTCGTTAGTTTCACGTCAAAGTCCACCACCTGTTATTTCTACTGCTGATATCTGAATGATTTTTTTTACTGTAGCGTGATTTATTCAAATTAAAGTATTTTATTTACATTGTACTTTTAAAGTCTTTTTGTGCACATTCTTGTGCTGCTTTTATGTTTTGGTGACCCGTCATAAAGACAATGTTCCACCCTGGTGGACGTTAAAGTTCTATGCTATGCTATGCTATGCTATGCCTGCTTGATTACGTAACTAATCGTTTTTTTGCTGTTCGTCTCTGTTCGTTGATTTGTCGTTTTTAATGGAGCAAATCAGATATCACAATATTTCTGACCAAATACCTCGATATCGATATTGTAGAGTTGACTATTTCACGAAATATTTACACATTGAGTTTTTTTAAAATAAATAATCATCAGTAATTTGGATATAATGACAAAGTGGGTAAAGACAAATAAGACGTTTTTTAAACAAGATGTTAATTCATTCATTCAGCAAGTTAAATAAGTTCATTGTGATTGTGATTCGTAAAATGCGATGACATCACTGGAACCAGTGGGTCCAGTGATGCTGCTACACCAGACGGACCAGGTCACTCAATCAACCCTCCCACCCCACCCCCATTTCAACCTCATTAGCTCCTGAGAGTGCACATAACATATAATATACTATCTTGTAAAATAAAAAATACTCCTCTTAATGTGAGTGATGAAGTGGTGAAGTTTCATGGTGATATCTATGAGGTCATGTGTTCACCTGTAGAGTCTTCTTAATGTGAGTGATGAAGTGGTGAAGTTTCATGGTGATATCTATGAGTTCATGTGTTCACCTGTAGAGTCTCTAAATGTCTGTAATGGAACTAAACGTCTCTTTAAAGGACGTTTCCTCTAAATGAGTTTGTTCTCAGACTCTGATGATAAATCTCCACTTCAGCAGCTCTTACATTCACCAAACTTCACTCGTTCATTCCTCTCTGTGTGCTGAAGGTTCACACAGAGGGGTTTGTTCACACAGCACTCAGAAGAGGATTTATACAACATTTTAGTTTTATACAACATTTTAAAACATGGAGAGAAAAAAAACACCTGCACAGTGAGTGATTTACAACCGGCCTCACGTCACCGCACACGGGTGACAGGAGAGGAGGAAGAGACAAATGGGACAGAGGTGGCGAAGCGGTCACGACATCCTGACTGTTGTACATGTGATGTAACGCGGGCGAATCCACGGGGAACCGGCCTGAGACAGTTTGTTGTGCAGCGACGGAGGAGGGAATGTGCGGTGAGCACGGATCAATAAACAGACGAATCGTCAGGAGAACATGTCAGACTGCATTCCCACAGATGGAAGCAGCGAACACAGAAACACAGTCGAATGCACAAAGATAGAAGGTCAGTTTGTCAAGAGGGTACACATCAATGAATCCATCAGCTGATCTTAAAGAGACAGTACTGGCAATTTATGATAATCGATGAGTCCTTTATCATGGAAAGACAAAAAGCTGATTTCAGCTCCCTCAATGTGACACTTTGTAGCGTTTTTGTTGATCGGACAAAATCAGCAATTTGAAAATATTATAGATTAAACAAATTAGCAAAAAAAATATTAGCAGATTAATTGGTTTCTTCCGTTTTTCCCCATTTAAAGGGGCTTTCTTTGGGGTGAGTTTTTACTTTTTATAGCAACACAACCACTCAGTTAGGTTTAGGAAAAGATCGTCGTTTGGGTTGAAATAACCGCGGAAGTGCCGTTACTGAAGTACAAAAGTACACAAGTACTTCAGTAACGATGAATGAAAGATCACCGTCTGTTGGACCCATCCACCTCCACTACCACCCGCCTGGTGTGTGGTTTCTTTCGTAGGTATTGCTACAAATGCCGGATCAGACCAGCCCGCCCCATAACCTGAAGCACACATCTCGTATTGAGAAAGCAATAAAGAGACAGAACAGATCGCAGAGCATTCAAATATGACGCGATAGCCTCGTCGGCTTGATGGCAACATGAAAATGAGCGCGATAACACAGAGTTTGCATCTGTCTGCTGAGAGAAAGAGAAAGTGCAGTCATCAGTCACTGTAAAACAGTGACGGAGCCACAATGTGTTCCTGCAGCTGCACCCTCACACACTCTGCTGTGCACCTGTCAGAGGCATTCCCATCATACCAGTGTGCATCCACACACACTCCCAGCATCCCCCCCGGCGTCCCCCTAACTGTAAACTTGTTTTTCTCTCGTAGATACAGAGTTAAATCGCTCCAAACCAGCTGAAGGAAACTTCTTTTCTTTTTTTGCAGCATTTCAAAAGTTCTCTTAAAATTTGCTTGACATTTGAATGAAAACATGACTAGTGTACGGACCTTTATCTATATTTATAAGTAATGGTTTTATATTTTGGTTCAAAATAAGATTTACTTATGATGGCTTGTATTTAGGATGAACATGATTATTGCTTCCTCCCGTCTTTTTACCCCGAATACTAATTATGCACTTATTAGCCAAAAGAATGCTAACTCAGTAGCCATTAGCCTGTCGAAACATAATTCTATGACACGTTTACTTTCATTGAGCAAAGTGAAATCAGCACCAGCTCACTGGGTTTGCTCAAAAACTGCAAATTCCACCCCGACACGCACACTTCTTGAGGGGGAACCCTGGCTGACACCGCTGACGTGGTGAGAAAAGGGGAAATCATGAACATGAAGAGAGTTTAGAGACATTCTGTCACTTCTTTTTTTGTTTATTAATTTCAAACGAGAGCACAGACTGAGGTGTCAGGTGGAGGAACAATGCGTTCAGACTAACTGGGTCATTCCAGGAGTTTCCTGGAGATCACAGATAGATGATAACAACAGAGCAGGTGAGAGTAGCGGAAAGAACTGACACTCAGCTATTTCTTCTCCGATTAATCAGAGCAGCGTGCACCGTCGCAGCAGCACGGACTCCGGCAGTCACACACCGGAACAGGTTGCTATGACAACTGTGGTTTTCTGTGGCAACAGTGGGAAACACTCAAATCAACTGAGCGACCGAGTCACTTCCTGTCACGCACAATCCTTCCTCTTTTGAAGCTGCGAGCCCAGCAGAGGTTCCAACCCACAGTCACTGACAGATAGAGTGTGTGTGTGTGCTGAGTAACAGACCTCAACAACTCCCTTTTACAAATTCCAAATACTAAATGATGGAAGTTTGAATATAAAGTTACGTTCTACAATCGTTCACACATCACAGGAAACATTTTTATAATTATTTTATCTCCTCGTCGAGGAAATCGCATCTCAAAACTCTCAGAAACATTTCAGGAAATCACATCCATGAACTGTGTTACTTCTTTCTTTTTTGTCCCTCAAAACCTTTAATCTTATTTTCAAAAGAAGCCAAAGACAAAGAAACCGTACTTTCACTATATAATTCAATCCCCTCAAGGTTTCAGCGTCCTGCAGAGCTCCAGCCAGCTCGCCGGGGCCAACCGTCCTGCAGCTCTTACCGTTTGGCTTCCTCCAGGTGACACAGGTACTCGTAGGCCATGTTCTGCTGCCGCTGCTCGTCCATCTCCTCCGCCGTGAGCCGCTCCACGCCATCCAGGACGGCTGGGGGCAGAAAAAACAGGAATGGATGCAAGCAATGTAAGAAACATATGGCTGAATTTACACCGAAAGAGCAGAAAGAGTAATTGATGAGAGAAAACGGCTGTTTATTGACTTCTTCCTGGTTGCATAACCAGGAGAAACTTTCCATCCAGCCCCCCCGGCGCTCCTCATATATACACAGGAGGTGTTTTACAAAGGCAACCAGCCTCATTCATTAGTGGCCAGCTAACACATGAGCTCATTGTGGCTGTATGAGGGCATGGCTTTGTCTGCATGCTTATTAATACACTGAAAACACAAAAAACAATGCAAGGTATGGGGGGGGGGGGGGGGGGGGGGGGGGGGTTAGGGTGCTGTGAGATTGCAGAGTGGAGCCGCCTGCAGAGAAATGTTCCCCACTGAAGTTTTTCCTCCCAATTTATGGAGAGAGGGGGGGTAGGGGGGTCATTTCAGCCTCCTGTCACATCTGAGGTGGGAGAGCTCTGGCGACATCATCAACAGGTCTATCCTGATTTTAACTAAGATCTCACACTATGGAAACTTGACAAACGTACTCTTATGCAGAAGTTTTACCTCAAAAATCCTCTAAAAGTAAAAAGAAAGACGTGCCAGCTATGCAAAATACTTCTTGTTTTCCATATTTGCTGGATAAAATGAGTGTAAAGTGTTATTGTGCAATCCAAATCAACTTTGCTCCCACAATCATTTAGATGCGTTTCTTTAGATCCATGGGCGGTGGTTTTTGAGTATTTCCTTTTTTATTTAAAACTGAAATACAAAACTTCTTCATTTAGAATATTCTGCCTTATTTTCAACATTTGGCACAAAGTATGTAACTTGTAGTTATTTTTAAAAAAAAGAAAGAAAAAAAAGTTGTGTAAACTCTAAAAGCAGGCCTCGTTCCTTCTCCACCCTGCGCTGCATTAGAATAAAAACGCGGAAGTCATAATTAAGCTGCAACCATGCTGTCAGGAATAAAATAAAAAACGACTCCGCGCGCTTTGTAAGAAACAACTTTCCTGAAGTTTTGGGAGCGTTTGCATGAAGCAGAGCGCTGATCCGGGAGCTGTGAGGGTAAAGGGGTGGAAGCCGCCCGCCTGGCATCTCAAGGTGAGCACAAGAAGAAGAAAAACTTACAGCCATATCTCGGCCGGAGCCCGTCTGTCTCGTCAGAAGTTGACATCCTCCTCTCTGCGCTCCGCGCTTCGCTTCAGTACAACACAAAAACAACTCAAAGTTGACGCACGGTTTTGGACACTTTGGTTCCCAAACTCTCCGCAACAAATAAAAAAGCACTAGACAGCGACAGAAACCCGGGAGGACCTCTCGGCCCTGTAGTTCCTCTCTGCGCAGCTTGACTGGAGAATTTTTCGTCTTCTTCAAACCTCACTGATGTCACTGGGTGTGTTCTTCCTAATCCTGAAGTATGCGTTTCAGGAAACGGAGCTCTGCGGCCTCCAGAGCGGCCAAAACTGCAGGCGCAGCGACCCCTGCTGGCCGATAGAGACATGAGCCTGGAACCGGTTTCCAAACGGTGGTCCGAGGACCTTCACCGGGGCAGGATGTGTGGTTCACGTTCCAAAACATACTAAAAAAATGAATGAAATCAATATCATGGAAACAATTGAGTTGAACAGTTAACTGAGTATAAAAGTAAACTTTATTTAACATTTTGTGGGGCGGATTGAACAACTCATGACGAATGTTTCATTAGAGGAGGTTCAGTGTTTAGAAACAGATTACATTTTAATTTAGATTAAGTGTTCAGATTACAACAAATAAGTAATTATAATCAGACCAGAATCCATCTTTAGAAATTGGGCAATCAGATTATAATTAAATTGTCAAGATATAATAGGCCCTTCTTTAAGCCCCGCCCCTCGCTGCCACTCTGTCAGAGCTACGTTACCATGAGACCACACTGTCACTAACGCGCTCCCTAAATTAACGATGCCTCATTTACATATTTAAACATAACATTTGAGAAAACTTGCAATATAAAACATAAGTGTATTGATGTAATGAGTTTTCACGGTGATGTTTATTAGTTAACACTGATTAACTCATTAATAATGATGACTTTAGGCAGATAAATAATGTATTCATTGTAATAAATGATGGTGTTTTAATGAGTTTCTTGGCGCTTTAAGGTGTTTAATAAAGAGTGAAAACCTAATTTAGGCCATGTCACGTGACCAGGTGTCTCCTGTGTTTCATCTGAACTCCTGATGGAACTGTTTTCTGGAGAGCTCGGCCTCATGCAGTCGTGTTCAAATGTTCTAACTGTAACTAATACAACAGGAGTGTTGTTGGGTTTATCCACCTCTGCAGACTACACTCTCCTGCATGTGAGTCCTGCATGTGGCCTCTCGGGTCCGTATAAGAGAGCATGCAGGTCCGGTGGGTGGAGGGAGAATCTCCAGTGGACCTGCTGCGACCCCTCTTCTTCTTCTCCAGTCCTGACCTGCCTCCTCCTCTTCCTCCACCCACCACCAGGACCAGCACCATGGACAGCTCCGGGACGCTCCGCGGACTGCTGTTTGTCGGCCTGCTGTGCGTCATGTGTCGCGGCCAGTCGTCCCAGGAAGTCTCCGCAGAGGACTTCGGACTGGACAAACCCGAGCCGGCCGCAGACAGAGACCTGGTCAGTATGTGAACAGCTGCACTGTTGTTAGTTTATGGAGGAATCCACGGATTGAGATCACCGACGACACTTTGGTCACGTTTCCCGAAATGTTGGCAGAATAAATAACCTTTTTTTAAAGGGTTTTTGCAAAGATGTGTTTCAACATTTCAACGTTTCTTTTATTTGCATTCCATAGGAAAACCAAATGCATCCTGTTATTTAGTTCAGCTTTAGAGGTTTAGAGGAACGTGCAGAAAACATTTCAAATAACTGTTCAATTTGTGTTTTTAAAGGAAGACACTACAGATGAGAAGTGTCAAAATAAATAACTAATGGATATCAACATGAAACTTCTACAGTTGGTTACTCACATTAAGACAATTGTTTTTTGTATTACAAGTTTTCTAAAATGTTATGTTTCAATATGCAAATGAGGCATTATCCGATGGTAACTTTTGGTGAATTTAGGAGAAATCTACAGGAGCACAAAGACAAAGAGATAAAATAAACATCTAAATGTGTATTTTTGATGTTTTTTCCCCCACTAGACTGATAGAGATACATGGACTTTTATTGAAAATATTCACTGACAAACCTTTTAAACTCAGTGCAGCTGTTCATGTTCAAACCCACATTGTGTTAACTCCAAGTCAACCGAATGTATCCGGTGGGAAAATGATGAACAAGACATCTAGAATATCTACTTTAGCTATGAAAAACACGCCATCTTGGGTTTAAAGGTGTCTTATAGCTTCAACGAAGAGTTATAGATTATACTTGTGATACTTAGGGGGATATTTAAGAGTTAATAAGATGCACGTGCTCTGGTTTGACACTTTCTCCTTGCTTTCTGACAGATGGAAGCGCTGGAGGCTCTGCTGGGCAGGATGCGTAATCGGATTCCCTCCACGGAGAAAAGAGGAAGCATCGCACTAGTAACTTCACTTTATTCTCTGTATTCACGTGACGCAGCTCTTAATGCACCTTCAATGCATTTCCTGATACTGAACGGCAGAATGTAATTTAGTGATCTGTTGAACAAAACTCCACAGATGTTTAATTAAGCCGGTTAGCAAAAGATACCACGCCAGTAATTAAAAGTTAACAAGAAAATGCCAACAACAGTCTTTCACTCAATGCAATTACAGACTGATCAAGATATCGCTGCCCAGCTCTAATTAGAGGAGGGGGGGGGCATTAATGGTGAGGCCTGTGCTAGAATGTGTCTTTATGTCACACACATTAACACAAATCACATGAAGGGAATATAAAATACATGGATATACATTACGTCGTTGCCAAACATCACTGCACTTTCTGGAGTTTTTGCAACCTTTTTCTATACAAAGTACCTGACTGTATACGTGTGAGTAACCTCCCCCCCCCCCTCCCTCAGTGTGGGATGGGTGCCCGATGCGCCATGAAGTTCGGGCCTCGCATCGGGAAGCTCTGTGACTGCGGCAGAGGAGCCAACTGTAACTCCTACCTGCTCAAGTGCATCTGAAGCACTGAGGACTTTTTGAGGCATTTTTTTTTCTTCTCACGAACTCAGCGTCTCCAAACATCCTTCACAGCATCGGCACTGACAACAAACCGTGACTCTCATCCCGCTGTCATGTCGTCATTCATACCCATCATGCATTGTTGTTGTTTTGGCAGCTGTTGCCTGAGGATGAGCATGGATTTGTATTGGTGACTTCTTGTTTACTGTAAGCATGTGAAGTATTTCATGTTCAATAAACGCATTTATCAACACATGTTTTGGTTGGATTTCTTTCTTTATGTTGACGTCGTTTAGGTTACATTTAATTGGCCCTTTGCAAAGTATGCACGGAGCCCACACTCACAAACTGCACTCACTGTGGAAATATGATCTAATTCTTGTAAATTTCAGAGAGCAGCAGACAGAAGGGTCTACAGCATGTGCTTGAAGGATAAATCCAGGATGTCAAACTGATTCATCAGTGAAAACAGGTTCAAAAGATAAAGATAGAAGCTAAAGTGTAAACATGAACCACCACATCACCTTGGGGTCCAATACAAGCTATAGAGACCAAAAGCGTTTATTGTACCAGGCTGTAATGTTGATTTCTGCTGTAAAGTTGCTCATGTCAACATGGAGGTCTTCTGGAGCCACAAGTGTCCGTTTTAAGGAACTGCACTGGTTATGGTCCACTTTTACATACGTAACGTTTTAAAAAGAAGAAGTACAATGTGTGCCACACAAACACCTTCGTTTCAAATCTCTCACACAAACTGCACCAAACGGATGTCGTATCAGGTGTTTCACTATTTTGAATTTTAACATAACACAAATATAAATTAAATCTCTGACCAGGTAACCCAAGTTGACTTGCTGAGTAAAAACCCAATTCAACCGCCACATATTAAAAGCATGATACCAAAAATAAGCATATATTACACACGCACACACATACAAGCTTTGTAATACGTCACAGTAAAGTTAAGCATAACTTTTCCCTTCTCACATCTTTAACTCCACAATGTTCATGAAAAGATGTGAAGGGACTTCCTCAAAACCTTCTATAATTCCATAAAATTCATCTTCTCCATTGACATATTTCCTAACTTTTCTTTATACTTGGTACATTAGAGTTCTTCTACTGCAATAAGACGTTTTCCTTGTAAGACGCCCATGTCTAATGCATATTCCTTTCTTTTCAGTCGGACATCTTCAGGATGTAAATGTAGTCTAAACGTCATGGCTGGTATTGTGATACATTCATATTCGTACAATTCACATCTTTCCAAAGGGTCCTAATGTGTTCATATTCCCAAATATAGTGTAACAAAGTACCTTTAAGAGCATTGCATTTCACACATACTGTATGTCAGTATCATTGTATTTGTGCATAAGGTGCATTATCCACTTGTAATGTAGTACTTTCAGTCGTGTTTTCACTACACGACTGAAGCTTTGAGATCCTTTTTGCTTCCAGGAGTCGTGCGGTATTTTGTGACTGTGACATCAGTTTACCAAACAACAATGAAATAAACTCTCTCCTCCGCTTATGACAGTTGAATGGAATACTACTGCTCGAGGTGCAGCCAAAGGAAACACGTTTTACAAAGGCAAAATATAACTAATAACACAACCCTCAGCATGAGAGATAAACATTTCTGGAGCCAAAACATTTTTTGTTCTTAAAGCTGAAATTGTTTCAGAAACTCTTTTCATAAACTGGCCTTTCTTAAAGTTGGACTCCCCACTGCTGCACACATTAACACCTCAGCTTGTTCATTCACAGTGGTTCTGCTGGGCTTCGCCACAAACTGTGACGGATGAAAGCGAACCGTCCAGCTGTGACAAAAAGCCATGCTTATTCAATATGATTAAAAAATAAAATAGAATTGCTGAGCAGATCCGGCTCGCCGACACATGTGGCATGAAGCCGGCAGATACATGCTTTTCATTTTGTCCCGGAAGTCTTAATCCGCAGAGCCATAAAAGACTGAAGAGCTCATTTAAAAGGGGACAAGCTTTGTGGACAAGATAGGAGACAAACAGCAGTGTAATGTTTCCCTCGCTCAGTGCCTCAGGCAATTTAGCCTGCAATAAAAACAAGTCAATAGTGAATGAAAAGTGTTCATTGTGGAATTCTGCTTGGCTAAAGCATTCCTTGTTTTGTTTTTTTTGCTCTTGGCTGTTGCAGAAAAGAATCAGTTTGGTATCATATTCAATAAGTCATCATATTCCATGCATTGATGAGCACATGCTATTAAATATGAATCTCGTCCTGTTCCTGATAATAACTAGTACATAAGAGTATGTTATATTATTATACAGGTGCAAAGATATATATATATATATATATATATATATATATATATAGAGAGAGAGAGAGAGAGAGAGAGAGAGAGAGAGAGAGAGAGATTCTAAATGATCTAATATAGAACATACGTTTTTAATATAATCTTCACTGTTTACATCACATGACTGATGAACAGTGAGGGGGCGTGTCGGCCGTTAGAACACTTCCTGGAAGTCTGTTCTCGTGGGTCCTCGCTCATGGCTCCTCAGAGATCCCTCCTCCCTCCTCGATCCTCGCTCCTCAGAGCAGAAATAAGAGCTTTGGGACAGCCGTCAATATGGCGGCGCAGAACAACTTCCGGTTCGAGCAAGGAGCGAGGAAATGACAATTAAGAGACTTGGGATTTTACCCCAAGACCCGTTTGAGAGGAGAACTTTGGCGGAGAAACTTCAGGCCAAAGAGCCGATAACTATGGAAGACCATTTCCGCCAGCCCCCCCCCAAAAAAAAGGTAACTAAAAAAAGCAAAAAACAAATCCACCACCGAAAAAAAAAGTTTTAATTTTTTTTGCTGGCGGAAAAAAAGAAAAAAAAAGATTATTATTATTATTATTTTTTTACTTTTTTTCTGCCAGCAAAAAAATAAATAAATAAAAAAGTTCTAGTTGCTGTTTATTGAAGGTCGCCACCTCAGCCACATTGGTTTTATTCTTTATACTCCAGAGCTGCTTCTTGCTTAAAATTCTATTCAAGGGTGCGTTGGCTCAGCAATCCATGTGAAACATCAAGCAATTTAAGTATTTCATCTGTTGTAAAGCCACGTTTAAAGACAAACATCAGTATCCGTGATACACTTGTTTTTTTAAACCTCCGCCTCTGCTTTCCAAACAATACTGTCTCAACTGTGTTGTTTTTACTGCTGCTGTCCATAGAACAACCCAGAGTATTTTATTTTACAAATGTCATTCTGACGAAAGCCTTAAAGTCTAAAACTGTGAAACCAAATGGACTCTTTCTTGTTATTTGTCGGTCTTTCGACTCCACATGGGTGATTTTATTGTTGCCAGCCTGCTGAAAGCAACAGTGAGCGCCTGTGTTTGTACAAGAGCTCTGTTTGTGCAGCTGAGACAGGCTGTTGTTTCCTGGGTACACTCAGGTAATGTGATCTAGCTGCAATGATAATGTGACAAAACTAGATGCCAGATGTGATGAAAAAAAAGATAGTTAACTAGTAGCCGCCATAAACAAGTAAGATTCATCATCGTCCCGTTTATCAGGCCGTCCTTAGACCAACAGATCAATATCATTCCTACATGTTTTTGTTACAATTGGACTTTAAATGTCTAACTAAAGTATCATCGAGAATTACACCGTGGATATTATGTCAATCTTTAATGTTGCGGAAGTTTTCATATATACTTCCATAGTTATATACTATATATACAAGCGCTGACTGAGAAATGTATTTTACACATTTATATCTCGTTCAAAATGTTGTTTATATGTTGACTGTGAAGGCTGCATTTGTCCCAACAATAACTGTTTCTATTAGCAGTGGTGAAAGGAGTACTCAGATCTTTTACTTAAACGAGTGTGTAGGATTTAGTGCCATCTAGTGGTGAGGTTGCAGATTGCAACCAACTGAAACAACCCTCTTCTCACTCTTCCCTTTCCAAGCGTGTTGGAGAACTACGATGGCCCTCAGGTAACGTAATACCGACCGATATGTTTTGGATGTGCAGAGAGAGCTATTAAAGTCCAGCAGTTTATAAATTAATTCAAATGAATGAATGTATCATTGAGGCAAACAGGTACCACACGCTCATTTAAAGAGGTTACTTCACCAAACAAAGGCTGCAGGGCGCCTAAAAAAACCCCAAAAGCAACTGGTACCAAGAGAAATGAGATCATATCTTAACATTCAGAACGGAGTGGGAGGATAACAATGTTTAAACAATACTGCACGTCTCACATACTGCTGAAGATTTGAGTTTCAGTGAACCAGAAAGATTCCTGATCACTTTTTAGGCGATGGATATTGATCATTGGAGGTTTCCTTTGACACTGTTTCAGACAGACAGCACATCTTTATGTTTCCCAAGAGATTTAAAGATGGATGAAGCAATTACTGGAGAGACCTTCCATTACTTCAGTCGGCCCAACAGACAGACTGATCAGTTAGTGAGCGCCCCAGAGGTAACGTTTGGTGGGTCAGCTGTTAACCTTTAACCCTGTGATGAAATGAAGCTGGAAGACTGATGCTGCCTGCTGCTGCCCTCCAGTCTGACTGTATTACCTCATTGATTAGAGATTTTGTAAATCCCAAAAATGAGGTGCACACTCATTTTGTCAAGCCCTCTTACCTGATGATTAGTGTGAACCAAAGCTGTGAAAATATAAGTTTAAAAGAAAAAGAACAACTCCCGATCGATTTGATCATTTATCAGAAGATAAATATGAGCAAATTATTATGTTTGCTACAATGAGTAGATCTGTGTGTTTAATTGAAATCTATCTATCTAATGTTGAATTTGAGTTGATTTGTCCAATGTGTCATCTCAGTGATATGAAATGGGCTCGTAGTAGTTTTGTATTGTCCCTTTTAATGGAAACCATTCAATATCTATATAAGATAAAAATGGAAACAGATTTTTAAAACATGGACGATGCAGTAAGACTTTATTGGCTATTAACATACATTTATTCATCCATTTGTTTATACCACTGTGGAGCAGCTAAACAAGCTTTAACGCAAAAGTGGATCATTCATTTGGAGTCGTGTTTCTGTTCACTTGATAACTTAGATTCCAGTATTGTCTTTTAGCTGGTTTTGGTCTCCACCAACTCCTTAGAAAGACATCTGTCTCTGAGAGCACTGGACAGGCCTGTGATTCCTGGTTAAAGTGTGCTAATGCTCTTCCTCCAAAAATATCTGTCTCTTTAGCTGCTGAATGCTTCACTATGTTCGCCAGCTAGTCTCCGAC